ACCCCTATTTTTTTTCTTCAAGAAAATTTTAACGTTTATTTATTTTTGAGAGAAAGAGAACGTGAGCAGGGGAGGAGCAGAGAGAGCGAGAGAGAGAATCCGAAGCAGGTTCCAGGCTCCGAGCTGTCAGCACAGAGCCCGATGCGGGGCTCGAACTGGTGACTCGCGAGATCATGACCCGAGCCCAAGTCGGTCGCCCAACCTGATGAGCTCCCCAGGCGCCCCACAGTCAACCCGTATTTGAATATACTTTTTTTTTCTTTCCAAGGGAAAATGTGTCTTCTTTGTAACTTTTTAGGAGATACAACGCACGTGGTTCATCATGCCTCCTTCCGGTCCCTGTCATCAGCGAGGCCCGGAAAATTTTAATCCCCCACCGCATCAGTGAGCCTCTAAGGACAGCCCCTCAGGCAGGGTTCCCTGGTTATGCCCCTTCATGAGTGTCTCCCCACCCACAGGACCCCGAAGGACAGAGTTAGCTAATTACAGCGCACCAGGATCCACCTAATCCCTAGCGATTCAAACCTGCATCAGTGCCCCCTATACCGAACTCCTCGGCCACTGTGGCCCCAAAACCATCCGTGGTCAGAGTTTCCCCCAACTCCTGCATCCGGGTTACTGTGACACCGAAATGTTCGCGCTGTGTCCTCAGACTCCGATTCCTGGGCCGCTGTGCCTCCGTAATCCCACCCTGGGATATTTTGCCCCCCAATTCTGTCCCCCGGCCCTAAGAGCCACAGGTCTCGGCAAATTCCCAAGCCTCCTCCTCCTCGGAGTCCCGTTTCGCTTCTCTCCGTCCCGGTCCTCCTCGGCCACCACCTGGCCCGGGGCCCGGGGGCCGCGACCGCGCCCGGCTCGCCTCGGCCAATCAGCGACTGCCGCACACCCCCGCCGCGGCCAATCCGCAGCAGCTATGCAGCCCCACCCCCTGGCCGGGGAGACTAACCCCCTACCGCGCCCCGCGCCCCATCAGGAACCCAGGGCCCGCTCTTCCTTAGCTAGGGAGTTCACGCCCTCTAAGTATCCCCTTCCCCCAAACCCAGGAGTTCGGGCCCCAGCCCCTCCTCCCTCTGACTCAGAGGAGTCTGAACCCCAGCTGCCTCTTTCCTCAGAACTTGTGGAGCCCACCACCCTCCAATTCCTCAGCCGGCGAGGTCAAAATTCCTTTCCCCTAAGGACCAAGAATAACCAAGAGGAGGCCCTTTCGTTTCGCCTCCTCTACCATTATCTCCTAATAGAGCTTAATTTACTCTCCCCTGCGGGCCTTTTTATTAGCAGGGGTGAAGCCGACCGGCAATACTTTTCTCAGGAGCCCTCCGGGACGGGCTCCTGCTGCAAGGCCTGCCGGGAGTCGTAGTCCCTGGGGTCAAGACCACTCGTGGGAACGCGTGGGGCTGCAAGGGGCGGGGCGGGGGGCGGGGGTTGGCGGGACGCGCTCCCGGCGTGGCAGAACTCAAAAGAGCAGAAGATCAATGACATGAAGGCTTCTTCCTTCTGGCTGCAAACTACTTTTATGGGAACCTGCGGGGGGTGGTTTGGCACGTTGGTTAGTGGACTTAATGTCTAGAGTTGGGGTGTGCATCTAAGAAGCGGGTGGGTCGAAGCTGAAATTTGGGAGTCCTAGTTAGGAAGGCCCAAGTGGAAACGTGAGAAATCAGGATGGGTTGGTGGGGGGCTCCAAGGGGGTGCCGGGAATGGCCTTGCACCCGTACCCCAGCTCTGCACCCCCGGTCACAAACAGCTCAGTCCCAGTGCAGAAGTTGGCTTCAGAGGCCAGGAACACGGCTGCCGCTCCCACGTCAGCTGGCTGGCCCATGCGACCCAGGGGCTGGGGAGAGACAAGGGAAAAAGGAGATCAAGGGAAGCCCCCGCCTGACTGCTACACCCTAAGCCTCCCATACCACATGGCTCTGGCCCCCCACTCCTACCTGGGCCAGTATGCCTTCTCGGACTGTGGCTGTGGGGTCAGGCGTGGCGGCGGCCAGCTCCTCCCACAGTGGGGTCCAGATGTTTCCTGGGGAGATACTGTGGGGAGGGAGAAGAGGGGATCAGGGAAGTGTGCCACAAACATGGCCTCGTGGGCTCACTTCCTGCCTTCTCCGCCCATTGGAGCTGCTCACCAGTTGACCCGGACGCCATATTGACTCTCATCCAGGGCCAAGGCTTTGGTCATGGCTGTTACCGCCCCCTGCGGAAGGTGATGTGGGGGAGAGTTCAGTCCAGGGAAGTTGAGGTTCCTCCTGTTCTCTCCTCCAACCAGGGGGTGTCAAGCTGGGACCTCAGAATGGGGTAGCCATGCCTTCCCTGAGGGCTTCTATGGGATGCCCCAGGCTCTGTTTCTTGGGAGGCACTGGCTGCAGGTTGTCATGCCTCAGGGCTGAAGTCCTTGGAGGCCCTGGTGGGGAGTGAAGGAAGGGGCAGGGTACCTTGGTGGCCACATAGGGAACTGCCTGGACCTGGCCAATGGCCCCGACCAGACTGGAGATGTTGATGATGTTCCCCTGGCTCTTCCGCAGGTGGGGGAGGGCAAGCTGGGGAGACAGAAGGCCAAGTAAGTCACCTGAGCCCCTAGAGCTGCCCCCAGCCACACTGAAACACACCCTGATGTCTGGGACAATGGCCATTGCTCTGGTATGTTCACTGCTTGGGTCTCTGTGCCTTGTAGGGACAGCATTCCAGAACCCCAGAGAGCACCTTCACTGGTTTGCCCCAGGGTCTCAGTGCTTAAGGAGTCTCTCCATGCCTGGAAGGCATTTTTCTCTGCCTCACCTCTACTACCCCTCTCCCTCTCTCTCTCCCCCATCCTCTGTGTCTTTGTCCTCCTTCCCATCCCTGTCCCCCCTTCTCTAGGTCTCTGTCTCCCCACTCTGGGTCTTTGTATGTTACTCAGACTCCTGTCCAGATCGAGACAGGAAAATGCAAGATGGCCGCATATTTTGCAAAAATGAGAGGAGACTCTTTTATCCATGAGGGGAAGCCCTGTGGTCCGAATGTGATGGGGGGGGGTTGTGACATGCACCCCACTTCATGAAGCTCCCTACCTCCTTGGAGGCCCCTTAACTAATTCTTTCTCCCTCTCCTCCCTCCCTCTCTGTCTCTCAGCTCTTGGACTACACATGACCTTGAATAAACTCAAATTCTATCCTTCCCCTCTCTTTCCTTTGACGGCTGAGCTGGCCGGAGGCAAGACCTGTTCCTGCCACGTAATATTAAAGGGGCGCCTGGGTGACTCAGTCTCTTGAACCACCGACTTCACCTCAGGTCATGATCTCACGGTTTGTGAGTTCGAGCCCCGCGGCGGGCTCCGTGCTGATGGCTCACAGCCTGGAGCCTGCTTTGGAGTCTGTGTCTCCCTCGTTCTCTGCCCCTCCCCCGCTCATGCTCTGTCTCTGTCTCAAAAATAAATAAACTTTATTTTTTTTAATGCTTATTTTTGAGAGAGAGAGAGAGAGAGAGAGAGAGCACGAGCGGGGGAGAAGTAGAGACAGAGGGAGACACAGAATCTGAAGCAGACTCCAGGCTCTGACCTGTCAGCATGGAGCCCAACGCTGAGCTCGAACTCACAAACCGTGAGATCGAACTCACAAACCGTGAGATCATGACCTGAGCCGAAGCCGGATGCTCAACCGACTGAGCCACCCAGGCGCCCCTAAAAATAAATAACCTTAAAAAAATTTTTTTTTAAATGAATATTTTGAGAGTGAGAGAGTGGGTGAGTGGGAGGGACAGAAAGAGAGAGATGGGGGAGGGAGAAAGAATTCCAAGCAGATTCCATACTGTCAGCACAGAGCCCGATGCAGGGCTCGATCTCATGAACTGTGAGATCATGACCTGAGTTAAAACCAAGAGTCGGCCTTCAACCGACTGAGCCCCCCAGATGCCCCACCCGACCAGCCCTTTCAAACCTTCTCCACTCCCTCAAAAACAGCCTCCACCTATTCTGAGGACTGTAGCTTCAAACACACCCTGAGCCTTCCAACCTCAGGGCCTTTGCGTTTGCTGTTCCCTCTGCCTGGAATACTTTTCCTGACATAGCCAGGGGACTCACCCCTAGGGTGACCAGCCATTCCAGTGTGCTCAGAACTGAAGTGCTAAGGTGTCTGTCACATAATAGTTGCTCAACAAATATCTTTTGCGTGAAATGAATGACTTTATTGAGGCTCTATTACGTGCCCCGCCCTGTTGTCAGGTCTTCACGCATATTGACTCATTTAATCCTGAGGACAACCCTAGAAGGAGGGACTATCCATAGCTCCTTTTTCCAGGTGAGGAGACTGACCAGGGGACAGAGGGGACTGTCACTGTGATGATGTCAGGGCCAGCACTTGTGGCCCAGCAGTGAGCAGTCAGGGACCAAAACCCGTAGCCAAGAAAAAGAATTTCTGAGTGGTAAGAACTTTAAGACAAGGGGCACCTGGGGGGCTCAGTCGGTTGAGCGCCCGACTTTGGCTCAAGTTGTGATCTCGCCGTTCGTGAGTTCGAGCCCCGCGTCGGGCTCACTGCTGTCGGTGCAGAGACTTCTTTGGATCTTCTGTCCCCCGCCCTCTCTGCCCCTCCCCTCCTCATGTTCTCTCTCTCAAAAATAAAATACACATTAAAAAAAAGAGAGAGAGAGTGAGAAACAAAAGGAAAATAACTTGGAGATAATACGAGCATAAGTGCCAGGAGTATGTGGGCCCTGGGCAGGGGAGGGCGGGGGTGGAATTCTGATCCTCCCAATTTCTCAGGCACCACCCACACTCCTGTCCTTTCCTTCCCCACGCTCTCTCATCAGCCTCAGAACCTTCCTCCCTCAGCCCTGAGGCTTGCCCAACCCCTACCCCAGGCCCCGTCCCTGCCTATTTTTTTTTAAGTTTATTTATTTTCAGCCAGAGACAGAGAGGGCGCAAGCAGGGGAGGGGCCGACAGAGAGGGAGAGAGAGAGAGAGAGAGAAGAGAGAGAATCCCAAGCAGGCTCCACACTGTCAGCGAAGAGCCGGACACAGGGCTTGAACTCCTGAACCCTGAGATCATGACTTGAGGCTAAATCAAGAGTCCACGCTTTAACCAGCCAACCAACCAACCAAACAAGGGACTGACCCACCCAGGCGCCCCTGTCTCTTTCTTTCTTTTTTTTTTTTTTTTTTTTTTTTTTTTTTTTTTGCCCATTTCTTTTGTAAACCTTATCACTCTCCACGTAGGTATTGAACTTCCTCCCCACCCCTACCTGGCAAATGTGAGGTCCCTGAGGGCTGTGGCACTGGGCACACAGCTAACGCTCAACAAATATTTGTGGCACATTCCCTGTGACCCCTGCTCAACCCTCCCACACATTCCTTGGCCCATATCCCCCACCCCCACCCCGCTCCCAACCAAGGTCACCTAGCACGCATCAGTGTAGCCGTATCAAGGACCAGCTGGAACCTTATTGGCCTCCCTTTGGACACCTGCCCAGGAGAGCCTGGCTGTGCAGCCACGCTCTGGCCTGACTCCTATTTCCCCTAAATGTTGGGGTTCCTGGGTCTGCTCTCCGAGCTCTGCCAGGGGAGCCCCCGCTTTGCTGGTTTCCCGTTTACATTGGAACTGCCTTCTGGAGCTCCTGACCTGCCCCCTTTGGGCATCTCCGTCTGTCTGTCTCCAGTGCAAAACCCCCTCCATCGTCGCCAAGAATCTGCCTCTCTCCCTCATGTCCAGCCTCAGACATGGGGTCCCCTCCTACCCAGCTTCTCAAGCCAGAGACCTGAGGGCCTTCCAGAGCCTCCTCCCTCTCCCAAAGTTCCTTATCCGATCCGTCACTAAGCCTGGCCATTGCGCTTTCTAAGGACCTCTTTAATCCATACGATTCTCTCCACCTCATTCATTCGCTCAACAAACATTCACTGGGCCCCTGGTACGTGCCAGGTCCTGTGGTAGGTGCCGGGGATACCACAGGAAACGCGATGGGGAGAGATTTCTGCCCTCGTGGAGCCCAAATTCTGGGGGGAGGTAACAGTAAACACATAAAAGTGCCTGATGGAATGTGCTAGAATGTGATCAGGGATAAGGAACAAGAAGTAAAGCAAGATGAGGAGAATGAGACTATTGGGCTGGGTGCGGTTGCAAAAAGGGTGTTCAGGCAGGAGCTGTGGGGAGGTCTTGGAGAAGTCTGGGCCAGGCAGAAGGAACAGCATATGCAAATGCCCCGAGGCAGGACAGACCTGCCTGTTCCGCTCAACAAGGCCACTGTGGCCGGAAGTGAGGTCAGAGGAGGAAGAGGGGCCAGACCATGTTAGGGGCCTTGAAGGCCACCTCTTTTTACTTGCACAAATGTTGCTGTCTCCTTTTTTTTTTTCTTAATTTTTTAAAATGTTTATTTATTTTTGAGAGAGAGAGAGAGAGAGAGAGAGAGAGAGAGAGAGTACGAGCAAGGGAGGGGCACAGAGAGACAGAGATGCAGAATCCGAAGCAGGCTCCAGGCTCTGAGCTGTCAGCACAGAGCCTAGGCTCAAACACATGAACTGTGAGATCATGACCTGAGCCACAGTTGGACGCATAACCGACTGAGCTACCCAGGTATCCTGCCACTGTCTCCTAATTCCTGTTTTTCCTACCCGCCACACTTTGTTTTCTGACTTGATCTGCATGCAAGAGCCAGAGTGATCTTTAAAAAACAATTTTTACGGGTGCCTGGGTGGCTCAGTCAGTTAAGCATCTGACTTCGGCTCAGCTCACGATCCCACGGTCTGTGAGTCCAAACCCTGCACCAGGCTCTGTGCTGTGAGCACAGAGCCTGTTTCAGATTCTCTGTCACCCTCTCTCTCTCTGGCCCTTCCCTGGTGGTTTCTCTCCAGATAAGTACATAAACTTAAAAAGATAATAAAAATAAAAACTAAAATAGTAAAAGTAATCTCAACACCCAATGTGGGACTCGAACTGACGACCCTGGGGTCAAGTTGGAAGCTCTACCGACTGAGCCGGCCAGGTGCCCCCAGAGTGATCTCTGAACCTAAACGATCTGTTAGTATTAACGCCATCACATCACTTTCTTGCTCAAATACCTCCCATGGCTCCCTACTGATCCTGAGATAAAGACCAGACATCTCAGCATGGCCCTCAGGCCCCCTGCGATCTGCTCCCCGACAACCCCTTCCTCCACTCAGCCCCTCGACGGCACCAGGCTCTCTCCCTGCCCGGCCTCTCCCTGGCCGCTTCTCCCAACCTGGAAGGCCAACCCCCCCACCCCCCATTTAACACTGCTCGTCTTTCACTTCCTCCAGGAAGCCCACCCTGACCCAGAAGGAGCCAGGCTCCCTGTCACACACCTCCCAGAACCCAGACGTGTCTCCTTCCTAGCGCGAAACACTCACCCATAGAAACTCATCTCTGCATTTAGGCACGGACGCCGGACTACTCGGGACTGTAAACTCCACAAGGGCAAAGACCACGCGGTGCGTCCCCAGCTCCCACAACGCTGCCCGACACCTCCCGAATGCTCAGGATTTGGTGAATAAATAGATGAATGAGCGGAAGTCAGATGCTTAACCAGCTGAGCCACCCGGGAGCCCCTATACTATTTTTTTTTTTTTTTAATTTGAGAGAGAGAGAGAGAGTGAGCGGGTAGAGGGAGGGAGAGAGAAAGACAGAGAGAGAATCTTAAGCAGGATCCGAGCTCAGCACAGAGCTCAACGCAAGGCTCGACCCCACGACCCTGGGCTCATGACCTGAGCCGAAATCAAGAGTCGGATGCTCGACCGACTGAGCCGCCCAGGCGCCTGGAGAATGTTCTTGTTTTTAGGAAATACACCCCAAAATACTGAGGGGTAAATGGACATCATGCTTGCGATTTACCCTCAAGGAGAGGTAGGAAAATAAAGCAAACAGGATAAAATATTGACAATCGGGAGTCTGGGTGTACTGACAATATTTTGTAAGTCTTAAATTATGTCAACAAAAATCAGTAAACATTCTAATCCGTTGGTAGAGTTTATGAAGTTCCCACTGATGAAATTATATGATGTCTGGGTAGGGGATGGCAGGGGCAATGGATAGAACAGTTTAATAAAATGTTTCTAATTGCCAAGCTGGCAGTGGAGATGGAGAGGACTGTCTTTCGTTCTTGAAACACATCCCAGTGGTTTCTGCCCCAGGGCCTTTGCACACTCTTTCCTTTGTGAATAAAACACCCTGTGCCCTACTTCTCCGCTTCCTTCCCTCCCACTCAGGGCTTAGCTCAACCCTCGCCTTTTCCCTTCTGCCAGGCTTCATTTGCTCAACATGTTTCTCAGTGACCTCAACCTGAGTTAGATACAGTGGCCACAGGAAACAGAACGGGGTGATGTTCGCGATAAGCAATAAAAATGTGCAGGCGGTAAACTCGGTGCCAAGCATGTTCTAAGGGCTCCGGGGGTTATGCAATTTACCCTCGCTTGGTTCGCAGAACAGCCCCGCGAATCGTGTACCACGATGAGCCTCATTTTGCAGGTGAGAAACCTGGGGCACAGAGAGACGCTGCAGGTAGGAAGTGTCGGGGAACTTCGGCAGGCGGGCCTCAGATCTGGGCCGCTGACTCCCCCATGAGGATTCTGTACCAGCCGCTCACGGGTAACAGAGTCAGAGCGCTCAGGAGGGGGAGGTGGGGACTGGGGTACCACGGAGAGCCGCGCCCCATGTAGCACACTGTCGCTCTTCCCCCCGGGGGTCCCGTGTGCCACCCTTTCAAGAGCAACCGGAAATCTGGCCGTTTGTGGGAAATCTCTCTCTCTGGAAACGCTGGGAACTGGATACTATATACTGAGATACTATATACAGTAAAACCTTGGGCCGCGGGCCTAGTTCGTTCCAGAAACAGGCTGGTGATCCAAGGCACCTGAATACCAAAGGGGGGTTTCGAGCACCAGCGGCTCAGTCGTCGTCACGTGATCGTGCTCCGCGTCACGTGCGACCCCGTAATGCAAGGCGTCGCTCGTTTACCAAGTTAAAATTTATTGGAAACGTTTGCTCGTCTTCCAAACAAACAAATAAATAAACACTCGCGGGACGAGTCACTTGCAACCCAAGGTTTCACTGTATATACAATATGCCCTTTACGGGCTGATGTTTATGTGTGTCTAATTGTCCGGGGGTGGCAATCTCAGTGGCAAACAGAAGTTAGGCACAGGAACGAGGGTTCACGGGTGAAGCAAGGACACCCAGCAGCCCGGAACCACTTCGCCTGGATCTCAGGTGAGACCTGGAGGTCGGCGCCCGAGTTTCCCCACACCCGTGACCCCTGGCCCACTCCTGGTTCTCCTCCCCTCTCTGTCTACACTGGCTTTTCCGACCTACTCCAGCCTCCAGGCCTCCACTCTCACCCCAGGCACGAGAATCCCACTCAGACATCGGGTGGGCACCCCCCCC